AGATACTGGAAGAAAAATGATCATTTAATCTCATAGTTTCTATTACTTTGAGTCCATATTCTATGCATCTGTTACTGAATGAAGGTGAGCTCTGAGTAAAACCTAGACATTTTGAATTGAGTTACTAGGTAAACCTACAATTAAAATGACTCAAACAACATCCTAACTAGAAAAGCATATAATATAATCAGTGTAAAAAAAAAATCTTTAGGGTTTATTTTTACCTCACAGACCAATAACAATCAAAGTTAAATTAAAATATCCTCAGTGCTTAGCACATTACCTGGCACTTAATGGGTGCTCACTAAATATTTGTTGACTGAATTAAAAGCCAGCTCAGGAGAAAATAAAATAGATCAACATTACATTCCCTCCTGTGGATAAAGAGGCTGTTTTGCAAGGCAGTCCAGGAATCAATAGTAAAATAATTACTTTAGGATTCTGATGATTTGGGAAATAAAATTGCAAAGTCTAAATTAGGTTTTGTGTTGGTTTCTTCTCTACAGTGTTGTACCTTCCTTTCTAAAATGAACCTACAAAAGCATTTTTTTCCTCTAAAGCAGTCAAGTATTCCTTAAACACCAAATTAAACACTATTATTTATCTTTAATGCATGATAATAGAATAAATGTACATTCCCAGTAATACCCGCAATTTCATCTTTCCCATTACAAATGTTCTCCCAACATGAGCATGTTTTAGGCTGGTCAAAATCAACACCTCTATTAAACAGTATTTTCCTCCAGTCAATATTTTTCTCATTCAAACATTTACTTTCAGCAATCCTTAAACTCCAGAGATCTAAATATAGGCAACCTCAACTTGAAAAAATTCACAGCTAAAACTAACATATACTCTATGCCAATCTGTGCACCAGCTGTGGATTAAAATGTGCTGAAAAGCAGAACATTTTGTCTCTCTTCAATGATCAAATAGTCTCTTGCAGCATATACAACTCTCCATTTAACAGGAGGAGGATGGTGTGGCAGGAGAGGGAGAAGAATCTGGGTGATTTTGTTTTGAGGTATCTGGAGGTGCTGAAATCCACTTAATTTATGGTTGTCGTGTGGTTCTTTAAACAAAAAACCTGTGTGAGTATTAAATAGGGACAGGGAGAGTAGCGGTAACTGAGTTAGATTCTTGGAAAGAGAATATCTTCCTGACTTTTTCAAATTACTTTGAGATTTGCTTCCTGTTTATTTTCTGGCAAACATTTAAAAATAGTTGTCTAAATGAGGTCGCATTTGCAGAGACTGTAGAAATTCCTTTAACTGTAGAGTTCCAAGGAAAAAAAAAAATGACAGATTTATTACAGGGGCAAGCATTAGCCAAAGAGTTCAGTTAATTATTTTAAGTCTCTTAAAAAACGTGAATGCATTTTTGTATTAATATAGTATTTACCAATATGAATTTTCCTAACACTTGAAGAATAAAATTGCCCAACCATTCCCTAGAATCCTATAGATCACTAATTCTTTGCTTATTCTTTCATTTTAAATGGCTCAAGAACTGTACTGGGATTATGTGGCATAGGATGTCTTAGTTAAAGAGATTGGATGCTCACTGACCTACTTAACAGATCAATAAAGCATAATTCCAAAGGGAAATAAAAATTTCTTAAAATTGTTGATTTCAAATTCATGTTCAATATTTTGCCAGTATTTTGCAGAATGGTCATATTTTTATAGAGACTTTTGCCTAGTGGCAAATTAATTTGTTTTACTTATTTAGTTCCCCAAAGTACAAGTTCTATTGTCTTCTAACCACATGGCAAAACAAGAATAGTTACAATCCTAATCAGATTGAAATGAAATATGTATTATTTCATTTTAAAGAACTATAACTTAAATTCTTCACCATAATTTTATAAAGACAAAGTACATATATGTTAATCAGACTGCTAAATGTTGAATTGTTATTCACTGAGAGTCAAAATGAAAAGCTTACACTGTATGAAAAAATTAAAGGAAAATATTTGTATATATGCTTGTACATCCTTACATAAAAATAGGTAGACAGACACGTTATCTTTAGATATTGTCTCACCAACAGGAAAGGAAAAATGGACAGTTTAACATACCAACAGTTAAAATGTACAATTTAAAAAGCAAAACTATGAAAAATAAAAGTAATACAAGTAACTTCTTTCTTATGTTTAAACAGGATTTTATACTTTTTTTTTTTAATTTTTTTTTTCAACGTTTATTTATTTTTGGGACAGAGAGAGACAGAGCATGAACGGGGGAGAGGCAGAGAGAGAGAGGGAGACACAGAATCGGAAACAGGCTCCAGGCTCTGAGCCATCAGCCCAGAGCCTGACACGGGGCTCGAACTCCTGGACCGTGAGATCATGACCTGGCTGAAGTTGGACGCTTAACCGACTGCGCCACCCAGACGCCCCATGGATTTTATACTTTTAAAAACACTTTGTTTTATTATCTCATTGTGAACTTTATAACTACACTTTGAGATACGAAAAGACAGACACTATTATTCTTAATTTCTACATAAGACAAACAGAAATGAAGTGATTTTCACAAACCTTAAAACTGATCTCATTTTTTTTTACTCTTTTACACTTCAAACTGATATATATATATACACACACACACACACTGAATTACAATGAAACAGCCAAATAAAAATGGACAGACTTGTATCTTAAAAGGATATAAAAGGAAAAATTGATATATGCATTAAAGTAAAATGACATAGACAATCAATCCAAACAAAAGTTAAAGCAAAGAGAAGATGAGACAAAGCATAAATTACTGTAACCAAAAAACAAACAAACAAAAAAAAAGTGGTGACTGAAGTGGTGACTGTTGTTCTCTTCCTAATTCTAAAAAAAAAAAGAAAAAAAAAAAAGACTTAATCAGAAATCTAAATGGAATTTCCCCAAAACGAAGCTCCACCAAAGAAAAGCAGCACAGTATAGGTTAAGGACCACTTAATTACTAACTATAATCAGCCCATTTCAATTGACCTTTTAAGCATGATTAAAGGTTTTATCGTTGAATTTCACAGTTTTGGTTTTTTTTGAGCCAACTTAAATTCTCTATCCTTGACTAACGTGCATAAGGATACATTATTAAATATACCATGTCACAGCTACCACTGCTTCCATTATTACTAGTCCTTTGATGGAGAGAGTACATAACACCTTAATGGAGCCATATATATATACATATATATACAACATTATATGTATCTTACATATATATATCATATTTTCTTTGAAATTCAACACCAAAACTCCTCTCAAATAACCAGTAACTTTTTTAGATTTAGGTTTTAAATATAAGGTATTATACCAAATCAGAGGTAAACATCATTGATTCCAGAGAATTTGCTCTGAACTGGCCAAATGTTGAATTCAATTAGAGAGTATAATATGTTATCTGGGGTTATCCTGTTTGCCCTCATATATGTATATATGTATATGTACATATATGTACATATGTATATGTACATATATGTACATATACATACATGTATACATACATGTACATGTGTGTATATATATATACATACACACACATTTTATTTTACAGCACCTCATGTCTTAAATGCTCAGTAGACCTAAGATTCTAAAGGTCACTGAAGAAATGTCAATGTTATCAGCATACACATTAACACATCTAACACATTTTTCTTATCAGCTATCAACACCTTAACTTAGATTCAAGTAATCAGTTACCTGGCAGGGACCTAGAAGAATAAAATATAGGACTTGTACATTTTAATTAAGAGGAAAATGTGACAAACAGGCTCTCTTATGAGGTAGGAAAGGACAGGTATAACTGGGAAAATAAGAGCAAAGGGCAACAGAGGTTGATGGAAATGGTCTAAACACAGAGCAGACTACTCTGTTTGCCTTTTCCAGCTTCATGAAAAACTGCAGGACTAGGCTCATCCTTGGTTCTAAACCAGCCATTTTAATCTTCTCAATAAACCAACAGATTCAATATTTGATTTCTCACATTTCCACCAAATCCCAGCATCCCCTCCACTACACACATACAAGCCTAAGGGAGCTGCCATGGGGGGCTCTTAGTTAAAAGATTTCCACTTGAAGGTGTCTGACACCTGGGGTAGCAGAGATCAGGGGGACATTGCCAAAGTGTGAAATCTGCCTCTGTTTCCCTGCCAGATTCTTTGTCTTGGAACAAAGCCAAAGTGTAGGCCTATTGGGTCCACCACCACTGAATGCGGATGTAAACAGAAGAGCAGGAGAGGAGCACCTTCATCGTTATACACTGTATGAAGCTCAAAGAGGTTTGACCTGTGAGCATAAAGGCGGGGTTTTGAGTCAGCAGGGGGTAAGTGCAGTCTGAGGTCCAAAAAAGATCCAGGAAGTCCACTCCAGTGGACCAGAAACAAAAAAATGAAAACAGTTACCTGCATGGTCTAATTTATTTAGATTTATTCTGCCTAGTGGAGTCTTTCTCTGTGTTTTTTTTTTCAATATTTGCTTTTTCTTTTTTATAAGTAATCCATGTTAACTACAGAAGACTTGGAAAATACACAGATGAAACTATACATCACCTGAGATTCTACCACCTGGAGATAACCACTAATAACATCTTCATGCATTTCTTCCCAATCTGTTATTTTCCTCTTCATATATATCTTCATATATAGTTGCAGATAAAAATAGATATTTTGCCTTATATGGTGCATATGGTTGTATAACCCTTTTTATCAGTTATTTGATGTGAATATTTTCCTAGTCACTCAAATTCTATAACATGATTTAAAGGCCACAGGGTCAGGTATAGTGTATCACCGATGGGTGCTGATGACTCAGGGGAACTCACAGGCAAACCACCATTTCTTAATTTTTACCAGTATCTTCCCTGGAACGTTGGAACGCTGAGTCCTGGCTCTCAAGAAGAGAGGAGCCATCCCCTGGCCAAAATCCCCTGGTCATACTGCTATGACGACACCACCATCTGACTCAGTAAAAACACAGCCTACACCTGTGGGATTGGACTTACCTGGAAAAAGAAACATCTGCTAATTGTCCACAACCTGTGAATGGCGCCTGGGACTGCCTGGCCACTCGGGCCAAATTCAACAACTTCTGCAGCCCCATTTCTTCAGCTCTACCTCGTCCTGTTCCCCTCCCTGCTCGTCTTTGTAGGTGTGATGCCAGCACATCCCCTTCTCGAGTCTGTTTCTGTGATGAGAAGTGCACAGAAGGAGCGTTAATAACACGTATCACGCACTGTATTGTTTTCGCTGGTGACCTTTACATAGAAGTACGCGAATTTTACTCTGGCGATACCTGTGGTAGATCTTCTCACAAAGAGAGGGGATCTTCTTTGCACTTTTGTCATATTCATTTAACTTTTTTTTTTTTTTTTTAACTTTGCGGTTCCCCTGCCCGCGCCCAAGACTGCAAGGCTCACTCCAGTGGCCCTCCCACCGGGCTCTGGAAAGAGTACAGTACGGGACCTCTACCAAGCTCCACTTTCTCCCCCACCGGCTGGAAGACCGGCTAGGGGCGGCACCCTTCTTGGCCACGCCCAGTTTCCCAGGGAGCCGCGGTTTCAGCGCCGGGCTAAAGCAAACCACACGCTGGGATTACGCTCGGCCCCTGAGCGGACCTGCGCAGTGGCTTCAGGCAGCAGGCGGGAATACCACGACCATCCATCAGAGGCTGGAGGGGAGGGCTGGGGTTCCCCACTAAAAAATTATTTACTGAGCACTTACTTTGTGCCATTCAGTATGTAACATGATCGTGGTCTTTATTGAATCTCCATTACAGCAAAGGAGAAAGGAGAGATTGAAAAAAAATAAAACAATAATAAAATAATTACAAGTATTAAAAAAATGCTATCAACCAAATAAAGAGGTCAAGATAAAAAATTCTTAGGGAAACAGTTTGAAGACTATAGTCACAAATGCTGTCTTGAAGAGGTTTCTAGCACATTGGAAGACTTCCTTTCCCCAGGACCTCAAAAACTTTTAAGTATTTTTCTTACCATTTTGTAAAACACCTGATGCATTACAGGCTAGGAGCCTTAGGAATGAATTCACCATCTGCGACCCACACGTCCCTCTGCCCCACCCATGTCCAGTCTTTATGCCTTCTCATTTAAATATGTCTATTGACACCTCACTGGAAAAGTTTACCCATAGTGAATGAGTTAAAGGATTAAGCATGATAAAATGCATTTTTCTTTCTAGCCTGCAGCAGTTCAATACATAAATTATGTCTTTGATCCTGGCAACTCTTCGGCAACTAAAAAGATGTTTGAAATAGGAAAACAGGAAATGCCACAGAGAAATGTGTCTCTTTGTTTCTTTTGAGAGAAACCTTCCCATCAGAGGTGCAAGAGTAGTGAAATATGCTAGAATTTAAGAGTCAGCCACACCTTTAAAATGAATTCCAGCTCTGCCACTTGCTTAGTGTGATGACAGGGCAAATTACCTAACCAAACTGAGTGAGCCTCAATTTCCTCATCTATAAAATGAGAATATAGTCCACAATGCAGTGTAATTCTAAGAATTAGAAATAATGTATGTAAAGCATCTGGCGTTTGGTGGCATTTGATACATTGCTATGTTATCAGTACTTAAGAACCTGTGATGTATGAACTATTAGCTGCATTACTCTCATCTTATGTCCACCAGGATCAGAGGTGAAATAACTAACTTTCCCATAATTAGAAGGTGAGGATTTAACTTTGAATCCTATTCTTAACTGTGTTTGGAGCCCTGAGAGGAACTAAAATGTGGAATAGCATCTTAGTAGATTCCATCAGTGGTGTCTCAAGTATAAGGCCATTTAAAGTAACACTTGGTGGATAGAATAATATGTAGTACCAGGATGTATCTTAAAAGTACTGTGGCAAGGTGAGGGCTGGGACTGCTGACTTGCCTGCAACTGTCATAACTCAGGCAAGAGTAAACTTAAAAAGCAATGGGAGAGCAGGAAGGATAAGGAAGTTAGGACCTAGTGGATTAGCTGTGGTAAGAGAAATCTATCATAGGGGGTCCCAAAGGAGCACTCCTATGCACCAAACCTCAATGAAGGAATCTAATTCAGACCACATTTCAAAAATACTTTACTTTTTGTTGTGGGAAAGAAGTTTTATTTGAAAATATTTGTCAGAGATGGTAGTGGACTAATCAACAGCCTGGACTGCATACAGAGCGCAGGACTCTTGGATGGAAAGGGCTTGCACAAGAAAAACTATTATAGTACTCCAGTTATGAGATTGAGCTCCAGCCTGAAGCAAAGAGCAGGAACCACAGAAATCCAAGCCTTTCGACTGAGCCAACATGGGGACAGGAAAGAGAAGAAAAGGGGTATGAAGAGGCACAGACTCATAGGAAATGCTCCTGGGGCTCTGGTTATAGGTTGCTTGGCAGCAAAGATATTGGGGAAGCAATAGGAAAGCCTGTCAGTCACAACTAAGTCAAATGTTCACCTCAGAGTCTTAATTCCAAGTCCTGTCAGATGGAGGGCACGTGTTATATATCCTGATTTAGTAAAAAAAAATGCTTCAGAATCAGGCAGAATATTGAGTATGTATTTGGAAGACTTGACTGCACATATCTGGAAGTGTTGGGAAAAATAAGCCTAGGGAACATGAAGCCTAAATGGGACGTCCACTTTCTTCATCATAAGTGGTAATACATACAAATGGATTTTCACACAGGGACCCAGACTATAAATCATTATTGGTCCACCACAAAGTCAAGTGATGATCTCTGGAAAGGTGGTTTTGGGGTTTTGTTTGTTTGCTTGTTTGTTTACAGAGAGACAGAGAGAGACAGAGAGAGAGAGAGAGAGAGCATGTGAGCAAGGTGGGGGAGGGGTAGAGAGAGAGAGAGAGAGAGAGAGAAAGAGAGAGAGAATCTTAAGCATGCTCCATGCCCAGAGTGATGTGGAACTAGATCCCATGACCCTGGGATCATGACCCAAGCCTTGATCCTACAACCCTGGGAACATGACCTGAACTAAAATCAAGAGTCAGATGGGTTTGTTTGTTTGTTTAATTTTTTTAACGTTTATTTATCTTTGAGACAGAGAGAGACAGAGCATGAACGGGGGAGGGGCAGAGAGAGAGGGAGACACAGAATCGGAAGCAGGCTCCAGGCTCTGAGCCATCAGCCCAGAGCCCGACGCGGGGCTCGAACCCACGGACGGTGAGACCGTGACCTGAGCTGAAGTCGGCCGCCCAACCGACTGAGCCACCCAGGCGCCCCAAGAGTCAGATGTTTAACTGACTGAACCACCCAGGTGCCCCTGGAAAAGTCTTTAAGTATAATATTATTAGACACAAAAATATTGGCTGAGGTCAATTCCCTAAAATACAACATATTGAAACCCAGAGGGTAAAAAAGGAATATGAAACAGCATGTTTAAAAAGTCTAGATAAGAGGTCCTAATACATATAAATCTATTTTGAGTATTGAGAATTTAGATTAGTAGAATTATAGTTCAAATATCAGAGCAGGAATATGGAAAATCCTGCACTGACCTATTGTGGCAACTTCAAGATATTCAACTGGCTTTGGCACTGATATGTCTTCTGACACACACAATACTCTGAAGACAGGCAAGTTTCAGAAGATAAGGAAATCAGTGTGCTTGACACGGGGTGTAGGAATTTCACATCTATGTGTGTTGGAGTGGATGTTGGAGAAAGCCAGAGTGGAACCAAGTGTTTTTCTACAATGTTTAGTAAGAGAGTGGGCTCATTGGATGGACATACTCATACCATGGATTATTTCTAGGTATCGACTCACCTTTGATAATGAAGATGTTTTCCATCCATATAATTGTTCCCCTCACATCCTCTTGCCTGATAACTTCTTTTTCCCATGATGGATCATGATTACTGAAGCTCTTTCATATAGCAGACCACCGAGGTCAGCCCTCCTGGAGAGGACCCACGATGATCATGATAATTAATGGTGACTGTGACAACAACAGCTACTGCTACTATGGTAGTAAAAAGTCGATTGCTACCATCAATATTACTGCTAACATCATTGACAATACTACTCCTATTATTATTATTATTATTATTACTGTTACTGTTATTACTACAATTTATCCCTACTATTATTAGCTTCTAGTGAGTACCTTCTATGTTCTAAGCACTATATTTGCCCCATTAAGTAAATTTTCTCCCATTTATTAATAACACTACACTATAGATAATATCAGGTACATTTAACTTGTAAGATGGTTAAGTGGCCTAACTCAAACCATTCAGCTATCAAATGTTTGAATCAAATTCCAATCCAGATTTTACAGACTTTCAAAATCCACACTCCACAATGTTATCTTTCTATAGGAAAGCACCCTAGAAAGCTCATTTTAATTATATTTTTAATTCACTGTATTATATTTATAAGGCAGCTCTTTTTAAAACTATTTCTTATTATAAAACATTTTCAAACTTATAGAAAATTTGTAAGTACAGAACAAGCATTTCTGTTCTCTGTGCCATTTGAGAGTAATCTACCAACCTAATGCCCCACCTTTTATGTGCATTTCCAACAAACGAGGGTATTCTCCAACATAACCAGTCCAAAAATCAAAATGAGGAAACTAACGTTGATACATTACTATCATTTAATCTTTAGACCCCATTCAAGTTTTGTGAATTGTCCTTACAATGTTTTTGTTTTTTTTTTTAATTTTTTTTCAACATTTATTTATTTTTGGGGGGGGGGACAGAGAGAGACAGAGCATGAACGGGCGAGGGGCAGAGAGAGAGGGAGACACAGAATCGGAAACAGGCTCCAGGCTCTGAGCCATCAGCCCAGAGCCTGACGCGGGGCTTGAACTCACGGACCGCGAGATCGTGACCTGGCTGAAGTCGGATGCTTAACCGACTGCACCACCCAGGCACCCCCCCTACAATGTTTTTTATAGGAAAATAATTAGTTGAGAATTATGTGTTGCATTTAGCTGTCATAGCTCTTTATTCTTCACAAGGGAATTACTTCTCAGTCTTTTCTTGACTTTCATGACCTTGTGTTTTTGAAGACTTTAGAACCAGTTATTTTGTAAAATATTCTTCAGTTGAGGTTTGTCTAATGTTTCCTCATGATTAGATTCAAGTTATGTTTTTTGATGAAAATATCACATTTTCCTAACTGTATCCTATTAAATGGCATACAATTTGGACTTGTCTCAGGACTGACGATGCTCACTTTAATCAGTGATCAAGGTGGTGTCTGTCAGGCTTTTCCTCCATAAAGTAATTCTTCCTAGCCTCCTTGGTAATAAATGCGTATTTTGTAGGGATCTATTTTAAAACCATGTAAATTTCCCATCTTTCCTCAAACTTTTAATGTATCAAATGGTCCTAACTTTTCAAATAAGTACTATTCTTACTGCCATGTTTTCCTTTTGATGCTGGAATTATCACTGGTTTGTCTGGTGGGAGTCCTTTCAAACTGGTTTCTGGATCTTTTTGACATTACCCAATCATTCTGGGGCCTTTTTTAATTTTTCCTGGGACAAGAAAGATCTTCTAGACTGAAATGGGCCCTGCCTCAATCAACTATTCTGGAATCAACCATTTATCCTAGGAGCGTTGGTTTCTTTCAGTGGAAAATATTATGGGGCCATAGTCTAGGCACTAGGTCTGTTCATGATATTATGAAGCAGCAATCTGGGTACCAGGTCTGCTATATATGTATAAACATATATATACATATGTGTGTGTATGTGTATATACACACATATGTATATACACACATATGTATATATATTCTTATATTTACACATAATTTACACCTATATTTATATCTATATAATTCTGTATTTCTTTATGTATCTATATGTACTGAAAATTAAGGGCTCTTTCTGGTTTTATTCCTTTCCATATATGTATAACTCTCTTCTCATACTTGGGTCACCTTATCCTTAACATAGTTACTTATTTGATCAACCCTCTGTGTATAAGCAGTCTGTCATGTCCAGTTTTGCACAGCTGCCCTCCTCACCTCACTTTGGCTCTGACCCAGACAAGGCCACTCCCATAGCCTATGTGAAAACTGCCTCTCCTCTCTTAAGCTTTGATCTGCCCAGTAGAGCAACTGGTTCAAGTATAAATAGAAAAAACAAAACAAAACAAAAAATGTCTGTAACTTTAAATATCTATCATCTACATTTTATTTTTCAGTACATTGGGAAGAGTTGACTGAAGGACTTTTATATTTAGTTCCTATTAAAGAACAATTCTTCAATGTGATAGATGTTCAATTACATTACTTTGGGGCAGGAGTTGGCTTTGTGGCCCAAATTCTACCTGTAGCCTCTTACAGCCCCAAAAGCTTAAAGCCCAGCAAGCCAAGAATGGTGAATGGTTTTTACATTTTTAAAGAGTTATTATATATATATATATATGTGTATATACACATATATATACACATATATACATATACATACACACATATCTATCTATCTACCTACCTATCTATCTATATATGTATACACACAGATCAAATGTGACCCCCAAGATCTTAAATATTTACTATCTGGGTCTTTACAGAAAGGTTCTAGTCTTGGGTATCTGTTTGCTCTGCCAACTTGGCTAATTCTTTACCTAGAGGTAGTGACATAAAGTGCAAAAAGTTCTTGGGCTGCTTTAAGCCTCAGGACTCTAAAGAAGTTGCAAAAAACCATTGAATTGCCATCTTACAAAAACAGAGGTATGAGTAATTTGCAAAATCATCAGTGAGAACAGGATAGTGCTAGGATAAAATCTTAATCACCCCACTCCTTGTCTTAGATTAAATATGGCCAGGTCCATTAGCCTCTGACTTGCATGGCCATTAGTGGAAGGCTGGCCTCCAATTCTATTTATTTCAATCAACACCCTCTTATGTAAACTCCTAATACTTTATTATATGAGTTTGTATAACTAAAGAATTAATTGAGTATAGCCCCAATTCAAATTCAACACTAAATCCATTTTGAAATAAAATGATTGATTGCAAGAATTGCAAAACCTGGAAGTAGAATTTTTCAAGAGAACAGAGTCATTATTTCTGAGTTACACACCAAATATTAACAGGGTAGGCGGGCCAAATTGCCATGTTTGGACTAATGTAGTATCTACTTATTAATGAACCTTGCACACTTGGCTTAGTGTTTTGTATTAGAAACACGTAAACCTGGCTCTTTAGAGGCAAAACTGCAGTTTCTGGACAAAGAGAAGGAAATCTCATTAATACAGGAAAAAGACTTATATACAGAAACAGTTTGAAAGCCCCACTGACAAAGGCATGTCTGATACCATTTCCTTTCTTCCCCAACAGAAGAGAAAAAAAAGCTCCACTCAGCATTATTTATCAATATAAGTGCATCAATTCAGTTTCCCACATATTGTGATATCCCTGCCTTAAAAACAAAATATCTTCTTTTAAGGTTTTAAATAGCTACATCCTGTTTCCTTTTTTTTTTTTTAACCTTACCCAAGCAGTGCCCCAGATAGAAGTACAAAGAGGAAAGGTATTTGAGGAGGGAAAAGAAAAAACAAAAAATAAACTTTCACAGTGCCATGAATTCATATTCCAGTATTATTTTATATTCTCACTTAAAAGCTTGGGCTGAAATGTGAGTCCCAGTGCAGTGCTGGTACTAATTGCTATGAATAATTCAAATTTTATCACTCTCCAGGGCCTCTCTGGGGCCGGGCAGCGGAAGCCATGTTTGGTACTTCGGAACCCACAACATGATTGTTCTCAATGCTGCAAAATCCACAGGAAGCTGGAGCTGCTTTATCTGGTAAACTGGGAAAGACAGGACAGAGGAGAAATTGGAGAGCATTAGCCAATCCAAGGAACCAGCTAGTGCTCAGTTCATTCCATACACACTAAGATCTAAGTCTTACCTAAGGTCTACGGATCTGGGCTGTATGTGCTCTTTTGTAAGAAGGTTAGAGAAAGCTCTACTTTTCTTTGGCTCAAGAGAGAAATCCTGAAGCTGCTGATGCTTTGAAATAGGTCCTGGAGAGAATAAAGGGAAAAACTGGAAAAAATATATATGTATTTCAAAAAATACCTCACTCAACTGCCTTGTCTGCGTAATAACATTGAGCAAGACTGTCACTCTGAAGACATATTAGCTCATTTAGGTAATTAGTGTGAGCAGCATGTTTCCCTACTTATTCCATTCAATTATAGGGTTCTCACTTTGTCATTACTGGAGTGTCTTAATGTGACTTGTAATTAGTGTAATTACAATCCAATGTTAATTATATCTGCCACTTAGACATAATTTTATATAGTAATGGTCTCTAATCTCAATAACCTTATTATGTTGTTTATTCAAACAGGAATTAAGTCTTCTTTCATGCGTCAAATATGGAGATTACAAAAAAGTACTGCTTGTGTCATTTTGGTAGTTATGACAAGGGAATCTCTGAAATAGCAAAATCATAATTTGAGACAATGTCTGCATGTGCAAACAATTACAGCAGTTCCTCCCTGTTTCCAGAAATATGCCCATGTATCTCCAAATAACTGTGTGCAGTGGCAGTTTGAGCCTTGACTTGCTCATGAGTTCTGGGAAGAACTAATGTGTGTACATCTAAAAGAAGCCTATTATGGTGGTTCGGTTTATTAGTATACCAAATGCACTCATTGCTGACCATTTAATGGACCATTGCTCTGAGTAACTAACCATTGTATACAAAGTAATAATATCACCTCATTGGAAGAGCACATTATCTTTTAAAGTGCTCTTAAATATATTATTTCAGTTAATCCTGAAAACAACTTTGTGAGAGTAGCAATAGCAGATATCAGATAATTTTAAAAGATTGAAAAAAATAAAATAAAATAAAAAACATTGACCAGGCTCACTTAGCAAAGGTAGAACTATTAATCAAAAAGCAATTTAGCAGAAAGGTTGAGCATGAGCTCTAGAGGTAGATTTCTAGGGTTTGAATCCCAGCAACTACACTTAGAAGAAGTTCAGTGCCCTTGAGCAAGTTACTTAACCCAGCAATCCCTTTGTGTCCTATTCTGCATAGCAGGAATAACAACAGTATCTACTCCAGAGGGCGGTTACAAGGATTAAATGGGCAATAGAGAAAAAGCCTAAAACCGTTCTTGGGACAAACTAAAAATGAAATAAATGCACGTTGCTGTTATGGTTACTCTTAAGAGCACTCTCATTTCTTGATTTGTAACTTGAAATCTTTTTCCTATAGACTACATCACTTCCTTATAGCTTTTCTTATGCTAATTACCAATTAAAGATTTGATCTTCACCCTGCATGGTTTTGTGTACATAGAGTATATTCATTTAGAAATAGATACCCCTGCCCCAGTGCTATTTACTAAAGCTAAAATAAAGAATCCTTTGGCCAACTCTGCTGTTATAAGAATACCGTACTATGAAGTTCCTTGGGAAAGGATTCAGTGGTTTATTACTCCGTACAAGCACCAACACTCACACTTCCTGAATACTCAGAGTGATACTTCCCATTACTTTAGCATTTCATGAATCCTCAAAACTTTAACAGACTCAAAGGCAATAACATAGGCAAACTATTCTTTACATTAAGACCTACAAAAATGTTAGTTTTACTTATTTAATGAATCTCAGTATCTGAATTTTTTAAAAAGTGGTTAAGTCAGAATATTACAATTTACGAAATTTCCTGTTGAGCTTTTTCATTTCCTTTAAGGTCACGTTCTTTTCCTAATTTTCGAGAAACAAATAGCTTGCGTACCAAGTTTTGAAATGACTTGGCTTCTTTGGACGTATACTCCCTTCTCTGACAAAGCTGGCAAAAATAGGTATTTTCATAATTTATTCTCAAATAGAGTCCCATAATCTTCTGCAACAAACAAGAAGGTGGTTTTTGCCACCAATTTTTCTTGGTTAACAAAAACATCAACAAGCAACTAGCACATTCCTGGCTTTGGATTTTTAGACCATTTTTAAAGTTCTCAGGTAGGAGAAATATTAGCTCTTGGAGTGTGCCCTAACCTCAGAGAAAAGCTGGGCCTGTTGGAGTTTATAGCAGTATAAACACGACTGGTTGGGAAATCTTTGGAATGTGCACTGCTGCCAGAGAACTGGTCATTAAATATTAACTAGAAGGTCTTCTGACTTTCTGTTTTATTTATAATTATTTACATGCAGTGTTGGGCCATTTTTGCCAGATAGACAAAAACCACTGAAAGATGTCAATTCATCCTTCTTTCAATTCTTCTGGTAACTACAATGACCCAGGTTCAGATACGAAGCTTGAGTTAAATGTGTGGATGAATTCTTGCTTCCAAACCAGGCCTTTGCAAAGAGGCACCAGGTTTTAATGTTCTCAAGTGCACAAAGATCACAGCCACTTCGAGCTGCCATTGAGTTACAAGCTCACAAAGCCCTCCAGCCTATTGGTCATGCTCTAATTTAGTCAGTGATGTTCCCCTGTACTAGTTTCCAGTTTTCTCCACTATTACCTGGAAGCATTTCTCCAGAGTGTTATTGGTGAGTGGCAGTATTCCCATCAAGAAACTCCTCTGTGGAGTAGGCCATGGTAGCACATGGTAGGACATGGCCATGGTAGGACATGTCCCTGGTCAGAAACTGGTGACATACTTCCATTCTTGGCCCCAGAATCAGCTAATTTTTTTTTACCTTGAACTGGTCAATTGACTACTTACATCTTACTTTTCCCATCTGAAATTAGGTCCCCACCCAGTCATTTTCCAAAAATGAGGACAAAATACAAGATTACATCATATTTACTGAATGCTCTATGTTCCTTCCTAGAAATAAATGAGTTACTAATAATGACTATGACTTCATAGGTGAGGGAGTTGACTGAGAAGCCCAAACAATGCTTATTTAAAATAAGGGCAAGAGTTTGCAATTTTTAAATAAGTCTACATTTTAAGAACAAGCACAGCATGACTTTGGAATCAAACAATACTGGATTCAAATCTAGATCCCAATATTTCCCAGATGAATGACCTTGGGCTAGTTACTCAGCCCCGTTAAGACATTATCCCTTTACCTGTAAATAGTGACAATAATAGCATATGTGAGGGTTATTGTGAGGATTATATGAGATAATGAGTGTAATGGATAAATTGTATGGTGTGCGAATTATGTGAATTATATTTCAATAAAGAAGAAAGAAAGAAAGAAAGAAAGAGAAAAAGAAAGAAAGAGAGAGAAAGACAAAAGACTTCACAAACACCTGGGACTAGGAGTTTGCAAGATTCATAATAGTCTGTACTAAGTGAAATGCTGAAACTGCCATGGAAAATGAGACCCAAAGGCTCAGAGAAGTAGTATGCTAGTGTGGACATACTACATAAAGCAGACAAACTCCAGCTCACTTTATTCCATGGGAGAGCCTGTTTGAATCACCTATAACCAAAGTATGAAATGCATCGGTAAGAAGGGCTGAGCACTCTTAGAAGCACAGTGATGGCTGGTCTCAGCCAGCCCTGACAGTAGGACAATGAAGGACATTGAGTAGGACATAAGACAATGAAAGCAAAGGGGGTGTTGAAATAAGGAAATGATAGAGGAAGTGTGGCAGTACTTACTGATCAGAAGCGAGGTAGGCACAATTATCATACTGGGTGGCAGGAGGGGATGCCTGTACTGCAGAGAACTATGGAGAGAGTTAATAGAATGTGGCATACAAAGGGACTAGGAAGACGGGCAGCTACCAAGGGTATCCATTAAGGATGGATAATTAGGAGGTTGAGAAGGTCATTATAATAAAAAGTCACGATACTGTTGTGCCCAGTTTCCAGACCTGAGCTCGGGTCTGTTTACTTCACAGTTACAACTCCAGGGCCTACTATTGGATCTAGTATATACACTAGTATATACAGTGCTTGCTAAATAAGTGTTGAATGGATGAAAGTACATTCCATAAGAAATTACCCAAGAAAGGAGGGGGTATAAAGCCTATGCTTCTAGCCACTATTATTTTTGTACAAAACAAAAATTGTATTAATTTATTTCAATTACTCATTATAACATAAAAATTATTTTCAGATTCTATGATTCACAAAGATTGAATGAATTGTACAGTATGTATTTTATCCATCAGTATCCCCACTCACTGTCGTCATTGTTTGCATAACTAGATTTAGTCTTTTGCTGCAATGAGAAAAATGTTTACTTTCCCCTGGGTATTGCTTGCCCTTAGCTTGTGGGCAGTTCACCTTGTTCCTGACTCCAGCCAACTAAGACAGAAGTCTCAGAGCTCCACATGAAATTTTACCACTCTTTGATTGGCCTGCTAAGTTGTTGTCCACTTGGGAAACCACCAGTGAGCAGAGATTTTATCAGTAGCTTATAAACCGTGTTGAATATTGCTTTGTTTCTGTGAGGTCCTGCTCTCTCCACCCTTGTCAGAAATATACAAAATCCAGAACAAAGCCCAACATCATGGCATTTCATGGCGCTTTCTTCTTCCCTGGATTTCCTTTTCTCCTACTACAGTGAGGGTTTTGCCAGTTAAGCTGCTCTCTCCTCCTCAACCAGTCATTCCACTAGTAAACTTTCCCTTCAGGTGAATAAAAGTGTTGCCTTCTCTTTCTAAATGCTGATTTTTTTCTCTAAATATCTTCCTTATATCTTAAACAAATGCAAATACCTACAAATAGAATTTTAAAATCTTGAAGAATGACAGACCTGAAGATTTGAATATTGAAGAGGTTATCTCTTAATTAGCCAGGAAATTTGCTTTGATTTATGTTGATTTGCTTTATAGATCTTGTCAAAACATTAATCAATGATTTTACTGAGCACCTATTGTGTACACTATATTCTTGACTTCTAAAGAGTTCCTGAGCTCATAGAGTTGATATACAGTTTTGTCAGAGAGCAAAAGTAAACTAAGTGTAGCTCCATTTAATGAAAATCAAATTATATCAAGAGTCAGAAACCTATGTTCTTGGCCTTGGCTCCTCAGAAGTGTAAGCAAGTCACTTAACACTGCTCTTTTCCCGCACAGAAGACAGAGATCATATCTACCTTATTTCACAGAATGAAATATGATAATTTATGTAAAATTGTTATGAAAGTAAAGTACCATATAGGGTAAGGTATTAAGTAAAATAGCAATGCAAGACACCGTACCACAAAATGCTCAGCACTGAGAGAAATAAGGGTTTAGGAATTCAGGGTCAGAGAGGTTTTCACACATAATGTGGGACTGTTTGAAGCAGGTGATATTTAAATTGACAATAGCAGGCCATCAGCAGGGATAGGAAATAGAGTCAAAAACTGATGTACAAAATGCTCCTTCCCACAAATATACTATTAATCAGAGGATATATGAATTGTGGAGAGAGAAAGCAGAAATAAAGGTTACAAAGGAGGTTGAGGATCAAATGTGGATAGGAATGTCATATAAGGGACACACACACACACACACACATTCACACAAATATATATCACAGTACACATTTGAGAATAGACAAGCAAAATGAGAAAACGTCATGTAATCTTACTCTGCAGTATAAACCTTTGGCAATTTTGTCTTACACCCTTCTAGACACATTCCTTGTTTATTTAAAACACTTGCCCCATGATATTTGATTTCTTGTTTGTATATTGACCATGTTGTAATATCTGGTAGGTAGACAGTAGACACAGAATAAATGTTTCCTGGGCTGAAATGAAGCTGACTCATTTCCACATGCAGTGTGGGAAAAGGTTTTTATCTTCCTGTCTTTAAAATTGAAGTTAGGTTGGGCGCTTGGGTGGCTCAGTTGGTTAGGCATCTGACTTCGGCTCAGGCCATGATCTCACAGTTTGTGGGTTCGAGCCCCGCATCAGGCTCTGTGCTGACAGCTTGGAGCCTGGAGCCTGCTTCAGATTCTGTGTCTTCCTCTCTCTCTCTCCTCTTCCCCCACTCATGCTCTCTCTCTCTCTCTCTGTCTCTCAAAAATAAAACAAAAACATTAAAAATAATAAAATTGAAGTTAGGAGATTATTTGATTGTTCTCTTAGGATTTATTTTGCTAAGTTAACATCATCAAAAATAACATCAACTTTGCATTTTATCAATTCTCCTTCTGATTTTGTTGATGCTGTGGTTGAAATTCAGTCACTTCTATTGACTTTGGATAGCTTTATATTGTTCCATTCCAATTTCTCTAAAGCACAGGTTATTTCATAATTGATCAGGGAATTAGGTAACTACAACTCCTTGTGTAGGTAGAAATCTAATGGTCATTTTCTTATTTTTCTTACTTCTAACTAAACAAACATGTAGTTAGCAGTTTTAGAAAATTTTTAAAGTATAGTGAAAAAGTTAAGGGGTGCCTGGGTGGCTCAGTCGGTTAAGCGTCCAACTTCAGCTCAGGTCGCGATCTCAAGGCTCATGGGTTCGAGCCCCGCATCAGGCTCTGTGCTGACAGCTCAGAGCCTGGAGCCTGCTTTGGATTCTGTGTCTCCTTCTCTCTCTGCTCCTCCCCCACTCATGCTCTGTCTCTCTCTCAAAAATAAATAAACATTAAAAAAATTTAAAAAAAAGTTAAAATCATTTCTAACTATATAACCCAGAAATAACCACATTAACACACATAAGTGAATAAAATGCATTTTAGACTTGAAAAAACATATTATCGATATACTCTATGAGAGATGTTTTTCCTCTCAAGGCAATACCAGTTTGGTCAGTGGATTTGAAATTAAAGCATTAGGTTGAATATATATATATCTATATATCTATATATCTATATATCTATATATCTATATATATAGATATATATCCAGATTAGCCTTTACATTAGAAAATAATCAGAAAACAATCACTTGAAAAGGTTAATAAACAAGAATGGCTTATTCTTTCCATGATGTTTGAATTTCTTGAAGTCACCTATGAAAAATGCAAAGATTTACCCACTCAAAATGGTCCTCTAATTTCAGGTATGATGAAGAGATACTGAGAAATAGTACTTCTGGGACCTTCTGAAATCTCACCATTTGAGCAGCTGCCTCTTCTTTCAACCACAAAACTGACCACACACACACACACACACAAAATGCATTCCATTTCATACAGACTCTAGAATAATCAGGCATCACTAGAACCAATTAAGAATTCTGCTTTCATTGTTACACTTGACCAGTATCAATCCCATGGCAGCTAAAGGCACAGTTCTGTCTGTATCATATTTCACATATTTTTTTATATATAGTAAATAGGATGCCAATAGATATCAGGGGAATTTTATAAGAGTAAAGAAATAATAAAATAAAAAACCAAAACTTTAGAAATATTTAGAGGGGGGAACAACAGTGATTTCCTAATGAGATTTTTGGGATGGCTGTGCATCTATATATGTAAGAATATGTACCAATGCAGCTGTGCACACACATACATATTACTGCTTAAACTATTTCCTCACTGACTGATATACTGGTCTCTATTTCACACTGTGACTATGTATGGTAGTCAATGCTGACTTACTTTCTATGGTAATCTCAATGTATATTGCCTCATCTTCCTTGGAAAGCAATAGGTCAGTGAAAATACTCCCAATTCACCACTCTCAAAGGATGTGTCAACTCCCTAAGTAACGAAGATGGTATTAATAATAATGATATCTAATGTATTAAGTTTTCTGTACTAAGTGTTTAGTAAATGTTATCTCTTTTAATTCTTCCAGCAACACTATGTGGCAGATAATAATATCCTTACTTTACAGATGACAAGACTAGGGATCAGGTTTAAGTAACATGGACAGGGCCACAAAGCTAGAGGTGGTGGAACAAAGATGGAAATGCATGCACTCCTGAGCCCAAGTTCTCATCTGCTATGCACTCTTGCCTCTTTTGAGAAGACAAGGCAAACAAATCTCTATTAATGAACTATCCCTGAGCAGCAGAGATGGCCACTCCCAAAAAATAATCAAAATGCTTTTCAAAGTCTGAAATAAATAAATAAAATGACCTCTGCTGTGATAGAAAGTACCACATTTTGCTCACAACCAGTGTAATTTACTTTGTTGGCTAAATTTAGTAACCAGAGTTATACATAGGAAATACGCTAACCGACTAGATCTCCAAATGAATCAATAGTTTTCGAACGTGAAACCTTAAGAGATATGGCTCAATAAAAACTCACTGATCCTTTCCTTCTTTCCTTCAGCCAGCTCAAAAATATATGTATTTATATATCGAATACCTTTTAGAGTCAGACACTGTTAATTACCTAGGCTTCATCAATGAACAAATCAAGGTCTCTGCTGTCAGTATTATATCTAGTGGGGAAGACAAAAAAGTAAAAAGCAATTTCCATTCCTTAGGAGGTAGGATAAGTGCTAAATGTAGATAAAGAGGCCTGATACTTAGGAGTGTTCCTGATCCAGGCATTTGGTGGGAAAGATCATAGAGGAATTTATGTTGGGGGTCATTTCTAACCTAAGACCTAAAGATAATGACAAGTTAACTAGCTGATGTGAAAACATGAGTATAGCTAAAGAAATCAGAGATGATGGTTACCGCACAAAAATCAATTAGAAAAAGCAAACATTGAACAAAAAACCAGCTGAATATATGAACAAGCAGTCTACACAAAAAGAAATATAAGTGGAAAATAAACACATAAAAGAAATGCTTACCCTGACTCATATTTAAAGAAATACAAATCAAAACAAGTGTATAATCGTATTTCACTCATTAGATCAGCAAAATGTAGAATTTGATGACAATGCTGGCAAGTTCATGTATTTTGAGCAAGAATTTGAAAGTTTCAGTAATGTAGCAAGGCAATAGGTATGAAAATTATAAATTAAATATGAAGGTATCCTGTAGTCTTACTCTTTTTTTTGATGTAATTTAATTTTTTAAATTTACATCCAAGTTAGTTAGCATATAGTGCAACAATGATTGCAGAGGTAGATTCCTTAATGCCCCTTACCCATTTAGCCCATCCCCCCTCCCACCTCACTTAAGAAACTAATGCCACAGTTTCACTCACAAAGATTTGGTCAGATATATATTCAAACTGTTCATTAAAACGTGTTTGTAATGGGGTATCTGGGTGGCTTAGAGAGTGAAGCGTCTGACTCTTGATTCCAGCTCAGGTCATGATTTCATGGTTCGTGGGTTCGAGTCCCACACTATTAGCACAGAGACTGTTTGAGATATTTTCTCTGTCTCTCTCTCTCTCTCTCTCTCTCTCTCTCTCTGCCCTTCCCTCCCTGCTCTCTCTCTCTCAAAAATAAATAAACATATATATTTTTTTAATTTTTTTTCCAACGTTTATTTATTTTTGGGACAGAGAGAGACAGAGCATGAACGGGGGAGGGGCAGAGAGAGAGGGAGACACAGAATCGGAAGCAGGCTCCAGGCTCTGAGCCATCAGCCCAGAGCCCGACGCGGGGCTCGAACTCACGGACCGCGAGATCATGACCTGGCTGAAGTCGGACGCTTAACCGACTGTGCCACCCAGGCGCCCCAAGAATTGAGAGATTTATACCTGAGAATGTTAATCTCAAAGGACCTAGAGTAGCTACATCCATGCCAGATAAAATAGATTTGAGTACTGCGCCACCCAGGCGCCCCTAAACATATATTTTTTAATTTAAATAATAAAAAAAGAAAACATGTTGATAATAATTAAAGCTGAAAATAACAGAACTGCTTATCAATACGATTCTGGTTAAATAAGTGTTGGCAAATCCACTTATTATGGGCTAAATTGTGTCCTCCCCTAAAATTCATGTATTAAAGCCCTAGCCCTGGTACTTTAGAATGTGACTGTGGAAACTTTAAGGTGGTAATTAAATTAAAATGGAGTCCTTAGGGTGGACCCTGATCCAGCTTGTGTCCTGATAGAAAGAGATTAGGACACAGAAAATACATAGGAACAACCATGTGAGGACATAGCAAGAAAGTGGTTGTCTCCAAGTCGAGGAGAGAGACCTCTGCCAACAGAGGTTAGAATGACCAAAATAGATTAGAGGCAGGGCACCCATCGACCTGGGGCCTAAAACTTTGGAAGAAGTACCTCTGGAATAATATTGGTGCTTCTGAGCCAGGAGGAGGAGCCCTGTGGATCAGAGACTTGAAACAAGAGCCAAATTATCCATTAGGCAATATAGACACAGTGCACAGACCCAAAATAGTTTTCTGGGCTCATGAGAATGTTTTGATCTGTTTTAAAATCAGAAGAAGAATATGGGGCTCAGTCGGTTGAGCGTCAGACTTGGGCTCAAGTCATGATCTCGCAGTCCATGAGTTTGAGCCCCGTGTCAGGCTCTGTGCTGAGAGCTCAGAGCCTGGAGCCTGCTTCAGATTCTGTGTCTCCCTCTCTCTCTTCCCCTCCCCTGTTCACACTCTCTCTCTTTCTCAAAAATAAATAAAGATTAAAAAAAAAGTTTTTAATAAAATCAAAAAAAGTAAACTTTAAGATCAAAGGAAAATTTATTATAAATAATATTAATATTTGTCTTTATTTTAATGCCATCATAAAATACAGTTTAAAAAATTTTTACTATGGATGAAGGAACTCCCAAAGGCATAAGTGCCCAGGGCCTATGAAAGTCATACTGTGGCTCTGCCCAGATTTCTAAGTGGCTGAGGAACCAGCACTAAGATGTTAGTTACTAGTGCCTCTGAGAGACTTACAAAGGAGTGGAGCCTGGGTGGCTCAGTCGGTTGAGCGTCTGATTTCGGCTCAGGCAGTGATCTTGCAGTTCGTGAGTTCAAACCCTGCATCAGGCTCACTGCTGTCAGTGTGGAGCCTGCTTCAGATCTTCTGTCCCCTTCTCTCCAGACGTCTCCCCAGCTTGGGCTCTCTCTCTCAAAAATAAATAAACATTAAAAACAAAAA